TATATAGATAATGTGCTTTGTGGCCTGTGGCCATGGCTGCCCTCTCTGAGCAGCCATTAGGAGGGAGAGGACACATGCCTTGGTTCAGGTCTTCACCCCTGCACGAGACGCTGGTGAGCTCAGCACCCAGGGCCCTCTGCCTCCACAGCTTGAGGAGGCTCTGCACACAGGTCTTCACTTAGAAGATAGCTTCTCCTGGGAAAATTAGCTTTAGATTTCAATTTCTGTTATAAATCTAAAACTCACAGACACCTTTGTCTGAAGTGAAATCTTAAGAAAAGTTGACACCTACCTAGACTGTCCCCAAGTTGTATCATTTAAAAACCTCTTCTGATTCAGTAACTGGTCAACAGATCATTTATACATTGTATCAAGTACATCTCTGTTTTTATTATCTAGCTCACTATAAGGAAGCCGTTTTATGCGTAAGATTTCCAGTTGTAGAGTTGATTATATGTTTTGAATTTAGGGTGATTTAAAAATCTGCCTACTACATTTCTTTAATAAGCAAGACCTCCTAAATGTCTTTCCTTTAGATTAAATTGAAGTTCCAGATTTAAAAGTGAAACCATCAAGATGGTGGTGTAGTCATGGAAATATTACACAGAGCTTATATGTTAAAATTCTAAATTACGTTGGTACCCAAATAGAGCTCTGCTTTTTGTAATGCTGGAAACAAAATAGGTACTCTATAAGTACTTTACTGATTGAGGAAATAAAAGTACTAGAAAGTTAGAAGTAAGTGCTATGTCTAAAGATGGTTGTGTAAAAAAATTCATAAGCTCAGGATTTTTTAGAAAATATAAGTTAGTGGAATCATAAAAGGAGTGGTTCTGGTCAGAGATGTGAAACATTGGAATTACTTCTTTTAATATTGTATGTTTTTAAATTGTCATTTCTCATTGAATGCTTTAGTTCTACCTGTATGACTGCATTTGCAAAATAATACGTTGCTTGAAACTGACTAAATGAAACGTGTGGAAGGTAAGCATTTCTGCTCCCACGCACAGCCTTGCCCTTCATCCTTGGCTTAATCAGGAAACCGTATTTTTGGCGGTTATTTAAATATTAAAATACATTCAGAAGTTCCATAAATTAAATGTGTGAAAAGCAATGAATTCCAAACCATTTCTTTCTCTTACTGCTTTTATATGGAGGTTCCCCAAGTTTTTTCTTATATAAACTGGAAATTATATGGACTTCTTGTATTTAATCACAGTATGATTATTTTGCCCATTATCCTAGACTAATAGGAGACTTTATGTCTTTCTGTTTTCCCTAGCTTCACTTGATCCAAATTTTATCATGCCCACAGAATATTTTTACCCATAGTTTATTTGTTAAGTGGTTTCTTTCAGAGAAATGAGTGTTTACAGAAGAAGGATAGAATTTCATGTTCTTGGTATTTTGAAGAAAGGAGTCTTGAGTGCTATCTTTAAGCACATTTCTTTAAAGTTTGGAATAACTTTTAATCATCTCTCTCACTGTTTATTGATATTTATTTGCATTACCTTAAGATATACGTAAGTGAATGAAAGTTCATTTTCATAGTCTTTAATGGTGAATAATTTATTTATATACAGGTATACAAGCTCTTTAACACTTAATATTGAGAGACAGAAGAGATTTAAATTGGGCTTGTTTCAGAATACCATCCTAGGAATCTGGCAACATCACTGATATATGAATGTTTGCTAATGTGGTTTGAAAAAAGGATCCTCATTAAAATCTTGTTGCTAAACAAGTGACAGAAACCTTACAAACAGCTTGAGGCTTCAGGCCAGTCACAGTTACTCCTGAAGAGATCTGGACAAGTGTGAAAATACAGAGACTGTGCCTTTATTGTAATCAGAACACATAAATGCTATCTGGAGTCAGGTCCCTACTTGAGGACATTTTTAGTCATATTAGGGAAAACAAATCTTAGCATATTTCAATGCCTAAGCCTTCTGTTGTGAATTTGTCAAGTGTAAAAGTATTGGGTGTGTTAAATTCAGAAAGTGTACTTTTGGTAATAGCCCTTGTATTCATGTTTTCCTGCAAGGGATTGGGGTTTGGTCAACTAGCATATGTTCATGAGGTAAAGTTCATGATGCTCATGACCTTTCTGTAGATGATACTTGAGTGTGCTGGTTGATCCAGGTCTCTGAGTGATGGTGAGGCTGCGAAGAGTCAGCCCACGGTTTGTCACCACCATCTAACAGTCACTTCTGGATTAACTTTACGTTCACATTCCCTTTGAGGGTTGCTCCTGTCTTAATTCTTATTTAGGATCATAACCCTTGCCTCTAGAAAGGCAGGTCTTAACATCAGGCTGTACGAAGAGCAGTTCATATGTAGGGATGCTAATGGCTTTCCAGAGTGGAAGTTAGTGGACTTTTCAATAACCTTGTGGCCCCCCATTCAGGACCTTTGATGAGAACGAGCTGATTGTAAGTCTGCTCTGCCTTTTTGAGTCATAGGGGATCCTCATCAAAGGACACAGGAAGTCCCCTTGCTCTGATTTGGCCCACGTGCCCAGCTCATCAGTGAAGAGATGACAAGAACATGTGTAGTTGAGTGAAAAAGATGCCTGATTCGGTTCAGGACTCAGTAAACAGTGGCAGTTCTGAGACTGGTGAACAGCAAGCTGAAGGAGCCCATGCTCTGAGCTGGAGCATCCCTGCCCCGCTGTGTGTGACCAGACACGCACACCGTTTGAAGTCAGGTCCTCTCCCACATCAGCTGTCCTCACTCCGATCGCCCCTCATCCTGCAGACTGTGCAGTGGACTTGGACGTCCGTGCCATAGGCCTCTTGGTCTGGCATAGCCCCTCGAAGGAGTTTCTTGTGCATTTACAAATCTCAATCATTTTCAGTTTGCTTGTGGTTTAAAATTTCACTTTTGTTACATATTTTGTGTCTTCATGGAGACTCCTGAAATTACCTGCTTGCTTTAAGATGATTATAAATTTTATTTCTTAGTAGCTGAAAGGGTAATACAGAGCTCAAGAAAAGAGGGGAATCCTGATAATTTTGTACTAAAAGAGTTATAAAAGCTATTCTCCAGCTTCTCTGTGAGGATGATGTCATATTTTAAGGTCTGACATGGACATGGTTGGTTACAGACTGGAGGCGGCTGGGGCTGGGACTAGAGCCCCCAGTGGGTACGAGAAGGACCAGAAGAGTTCAGGAGAGTTGCTGCCCAAGCAGGGGAACCCCATACACTGTCCTGAGGAGGGACCTGGTCTGACCCAAAGCAGACCCAGTAGAGAAGCAGAGGGCCCCACTGTGGCTGGCCTCTGGCACCTGGGTTTTCTGGGTTGGTGGTCCTGAGAAGGCAGGATGCCAAGGGGCCAGTACAATTTAAAAGGGAAACTACCAGAATGGAAATGTGATAGAAAGCCGTTTGGATTTTCTGGGGCATTTCAGAGTTGACTCAGGAATGGGATGGGAGCCCTATTATCAGAAGTGAAGGACCATGGCAGGTTGTGTGAAAGAAAGAGGGTAAATTGATGCCATCAGAAGACACACAGAAACTGGCCCCCAGAGGGCTGTGTCTGGGCATAACTCCCCTTTTCCTCTTCTTATTCATTTCTTCTAGAATATACTCTTTTTTTTTTTAAATTGAAGTATAGTTGATTTACAATGTGTTAACTTCTTCTGTACAGCAAAGTGATTCAGTTATACATATATATACATTCTTTTTTTAATATTCTTTTCCATTATGGTTTATCACAGGATTTTGAATATAGTTCTCTGTGTTATACAGTAGAACCTTGTTGTTCATCCATAGAATATACTCTTTTTCTCTGTAGGGAGACCTTGGAGATGCTGCAGGTTTGGTTTCAGACCACTACAATACAGTAAATATCATAATAGAGCGAGTCACACGAATTCTTTGGTCTCCTGGTGCATTTAAAAGTTATGTTCACACTATATTAAAGTGTGCCTTATGTCCAAAAAAAGAATGTACATGCCTTAACTAAACAATAGTTTATTGCTAAAAAATGCTAACCATCATTTGAGCCTTCAGCGAGTCGTAATCTTTTTGCTGATGGAGGATCTGGCTTTGATGTTGGTGGCTGCTGACTGATCAGGGTGGGGTTGCTGAAGGTTGGGGTGAATTTCTTAAAATAAGACAACAATGAAGTTTGTTGCATCGAAGGACTCTTCCTTTCATGAATGATTGCTCTGCAGCCTGCAGTGCTGTGTGATAGCATTTTGCCCACAGTAGAACTGCTTTCAAAACTGGAGTTAGTCCCCTCAAACCCTGCTGCTGCCTTATCAACTAAGTTTATATAATATTCTAAGTCCTTTGTTGTCATTTCAACAAGTTTTATAGCATCTTCACCAGGAGTAGATTCCATCTCAAGACCACTGTCTTTGCTCATCCATAAGAAGCGACTTCCCCTCTGTTCAAGTCTTATCAGGAGATGCAGCAATTCAGTCCCATCTTCAGGCTCCACTTCCAATTCCAGTTCTCTCGCTATCTTCTCTGTGTTGGCAGTTACAATAGTAACATCAAAGATCACTGATCACAGGTCACCGTAACAATTATATTAATACTGAAAAAGTTTGAAATATTTCAAGAATTATCAAAATATGACACAGAGACATGAAGTGAGGAAATGCTGTTGGAAAAATGGTGCCGATAGACTTGCTCAAAGGAGTGTTGCCACAAACCTTCAATTTGTTAAAAAAAAATGCAGTGTCTGCACAGTAGTAAAATGCAGTACAATGAAGTATGTCTGAATTAGAAATCCTACTTACTCTCTACATTCTGCCTCTGTGAAGTCCCTTCACTCTTCACCTCAGAGGTCTCCTCTCCCCCTTTCAAATCTACAGAGTAAAGGACTTTTATTCTGCCTTTCATCCATGTACACGTCTTTCGTGGAGCATGTCCTGTGAGCCAAGTACAGTCTAGGTAATAGATGTTAAATGAGTGAATATTTTAGAGCTGTTAACAATTACAGTGATGTAATTACAGGTCATTTTTTTCTTCCAAATTTTTTATTTCAGATTTCACTAAATGTTGCAAGGACTCTGGAATCCTTATGGTAGTAAAATGCCGCAAAGAAAATTCTGCATTGAAAGAATGTCTAACTGCTTAGTAAGTAGTTACCTCAGCGTTTGTGCTCCTGTGTATATGTGTGTGTGTAGTCTGTGTAGTAGATAAGAGTATGTTATTTAACTCATTACATGTAATCTCTACTTCTCCCCACCAAATTTGTCATATAGTTGGCTGAGTCTAAAATTTTAATTTGTTAAAGATTCTTCTAAGAAAAACGATACAACATATTTATGAAGGGTCTTTTCAAGTTTTGTGTGTTTGTCAGCATTTTATCTGATTAAAATACAAGATTTTTCATATGATTTAATAAATTCCTTTTCATGAACAGAAAATAGAATATATTATGTTTATCTCTTCTAATGAAAAGGTACTTTTGCCAGCCTTGGGATCTTTTGGACTAATGTAATTTAACTTCTAGGAGAGTTGCAATAAATCAAATGAAGGCTACAAAGGTAAATTTAGATTTTTGAAGTTAAATTACTTTGAAAAATAATTCTTAAATATCATGTTCACTGATATTCTGTTGTAGTTCCTTGAATCTTAAAGTAAAAATATGCAGAGGCCTTTGAATGCAGCTGCTTTCTGCTCATCTCCCCACATGTTTTATCACCCACATTATTGACAGGCAGTGTTGTGGATACAGTGCTTTAGTGAGTAGGGAGTTGGTAGTTGTCCGTGAGATCTTAGTTTTGGCAAACCCTTACTTCCTTCTGTACTCTGCTCCCCTAGCCTGTGAAGCATCTGTGTCAGGATTGTTTGATACTTCTTAGGCAATTACATAAAATGTGGTGATTATCTGAATCTTAAATTGTTTTCTTTTTTGATAACAAATAATGTACACATGAGTTTATAGACTCTTTTAGAATACTGAACCTCTACATTTATAGATGAGGAAACATACTCCAAGTCCGCATGTCTTTGCTCAAGTCAATAAACAATTCTAATAGCTGCTCTTTTTTATGAGCCCAGACCTGCACTAAGTGTTTAACTGTGGAGAAGTAAGAGTTCTGGTCCCTAGAGCTGCCAAGAGATGTTGAATGAATAGATGAACCTCTTTCACATTTGTGTGACTGAATTTGTTAAATTCCCTTTTGTACATTGATTGAAAGATTTTGACACCTTGGTTTCAGTCATCATATCATAGGGACTCATTATTCTTAGTTGGGACAGGGCAGCACTGGAGCCAGGAGCAGGGACCATGGGGAAGGCAGCGAGCTGGTGTCTCCTGGGTCCCCCGGGGCGTAGCTCCCCCTGCAACCCATGCAGGGTCCTCACTGTCAGGTGGGGTGATTCTTCCTCACGTGGAAACACGTCACCCCAGCGCTGGCACATAGGAGATACTATGTACTCAGTAATTGTTAGCTCTTTTTAAAAGTTTGTCTGTGTTATTTGTTAGCTTTTGTTATCTGGATATTAATCATTGGCATATCCTGCCATCTGTCGCCCCCTAGAGATGGAGAAGATAACAGGTCCCAGTCCATCCTGGGGTGCAGGGGGAGGCTGTAACTGCTTAGAAGAGAGGGGAGCAAACCAAGAGGAGTGACTGACATTTGTGGGAAAGAAATGAGAGCTATTAGGAAGAATTCTACTTGACCTCAAGTCTCAACATACTCTAAGAAATACTGCTTTTTTGTCTTTGCTTGAGTGGGGGCTCTGCTTTACTTACTGTCAACATTCCATGGGTGGAGCCACTACCCTCTCTCATCTCCGCCTGGTGACACCCTGAGTCAGTTTTGTGTTCTATTATTTCTCCCCGTCTCTTCTCACTCATCCTTCAGTAAACTGCAGTCTGGCTTCTGCCCTCACGACACTGGAACTGCTCTTCTGGGAGGTTCCATCTTTTCTCTGGTACTTGACCCCTCTCTGGAAGCCCCTGGAAGTCCCTTCCATCTGGCTTCCCTCTTTAAGCTCTTTCCTGTCTCCTCGGCATCTCTACCTATTTCTTCTCCACCTTTTCTTCCTTAACCTCTTCCTTAAGGCTGGTTCCCCAGGTTCTCTTCTCCGTTTTAAATCTGAGAAAGCTCAGTTTGCACCTGTGGAATTCAGCTGCTTCCTATGGGTCATGGCATGTCTCCACTTCCCTCTGCTGGTCCGAAACCGAACTGAGCTCCTTTGACTCCTGCCTCGTGTCTTTGTGAATTATAGTTGTCTTGGATCTAGAATCTTCCTGATCTCCTGTTGATTTCATCTCCTCATTCTCCCCCAGATCCACTTCATCCTTTTCATCAGAACTGTGCTTCCTTTGGCTTAGGTCCTCCTCATTTCTTGTCTGGATTATTATAATAGCTTATTTATTGGACACCCTTGCTGCCCACCTTTAGCCTATCTGCCACATGCTGTCAGATTCATCTAAGGCAGTGGTCCCAACCTTTTTGGCACGAGGGACCAGTTTCGTGGAAGAGTTTTTCCACGGTGGGGGCGGGGAGGGGATGGTTCAGGCGGTAATGCGAGCGATGGGGAGCGGCAGATGAAGCTTTGCTCCTTGCCCGTCGCTTACCTCCTGCTGTGCAGCCCAGTTCCTAACAGGCCGCAGACCAGTACCGGTCCGTGGCCCAGGGGTTGGGGGCCCCCAATCTAAGGCACAGAACTGATCTTACAGTTGCTTTGTGAACAGTGCCCGTTCAGGGTAGATTTGACTTCTCAGTGGGGCATGAATGGATCGCCATGATTTGGCCCTCCCCATTCCAGCATCTCATGCCCTTTCTCCTGCACATGATCTGCTATGGTGGTACTAATCTACTTGTCCTTCTTCATGCATCACAGTTTTTCCTCATCTGTGGGATTTTCCACATGTGCCTTCTATGTGGGTTTCTGTTGGTCCTTCAAAATGCAACTCAAACGTCTCCCCCTGACAGCTCCCCTTTTTCCACTCTGCCCCATGTTTCGGGCCACAACTGCCGTAGTACTTTGTGTACATAATTGTGATGCAGTCTTGTCTGCTCTCATGGATCCCTGAGGATGGGTGCCCTGACTTCCCATTGTCCTATCCTGGGACATTGGTATTCAAAAAAGAACCATTAGGTCTTTTTTTTCTTTAATTTGGTAGCCTAATGTTTACAATGAATTTATGACCATTACTAAAAACCTGCTTCTAAAGATTGTGCCTGATGAACCGGATGTCTGAATTTATTGTTAAAATAAGCTTATATGCTTACAAAGTGATTCCCTTTAAAAGATTTTCATTTTTTCATAGCTATAATGATCCAGCCTTTTATGAAGAATGCAAAATGGAATACCTGAAGGAAAGGGAAGAATTCAGAAAAACTGGAATTCCTACCAAGAAAAGGCTGCAGAAGCTTCCCACAAGCATGTAGGCAAATATTCAAATGATACTCAGTAACGCCAATGTTCATGGAAATCACAGTCACCTGAAATGATGGACTCAAAGAAGTGTCTGCTTTATCCTTAATTATGGAAATAATTTTATCTGAAATAAAGGTTTTTCTTAAACTTCAAAGTTGAGTTTATTGAATGGGATAGGAGTAAGTGGGGAATTGGCACATGGTTTACCTGGGCATAATGGGTTTATCCTTAATTATGGAAATAATTTTATCTAAAATATATTTTTTTAAACTTCAAAGTTGAGTTTATTGAATGGCATAGGAATGAGCAGGGAAATGGGACATGGTTTGCCTGGGTTGTAATGGGGTTTTTCATATAGAGAACAGCTATAGTTCTCTAACAGTGATACCAGTCTTTAGGTTTCCACATGAATCTTACTCATCAATCTATAGACTAATCATGGGACCAGAAGTAACTAAAGGAAAGCAGGAATGGAAGCCTTCAAAGGAGTTGATAACTTGGCAGTATAGCAGGATGGTCATGAACCTGGCTCCACCACTGAGGATTAACTGAGTAGGGAAGTAGAGTATGTACTTGGACATACTTGGAGTCTTGGACATGGTAAATGCGCTTTAATGGTTATTAGTAGAAGTAAAGGCTTATTTGGAAACATAGATGAGGAGATAAGTGCTTGTACATGAATTAGTTTTACTTACATCTTTAATAGAAAATTTCCTAAAATGTAGTGGCATTCCTTGACCTGTTAATTCTGCTACTGAAAATATTTTAATCTTTTAAAAAGTCTTCTTGGGCTTCCCTGGTGGTGCAGTGGTTGGGAGTCTGCCTGCCGATGCAGGGGACGCGTGTTCATGCCCCGGTCCGGGAGGATCCCGCATGCCGCGGAGCGGCTGGGCCCGTGGGCCATGGCCGCTGAGCCTGCGCGTCCGGAGCACCGCAACGGGAGAGGCCACAGCGGTGAGAGGTTCTTTATAAGGATGAATGACCATTTTGTAACATAGTAGTGGTTTCAGGAACTAGTGTAAAAAATTTCTGTCCTGATGTAATAATTTGATCCCAGATTCAGCTTTTATATTAAAAGTTGCTTTTTTTCCTATGAGCTGTTAACTCTTCACCATAGCCATTGCAACTAGTTTCCAGGTAAGTAAAATTTTTATGTATTTACATAGTTTTTATTAAAATCACAAATAGAAATTCCTGCCTACTAGGACAAGATTTAACTGAGGCCATCGAGTTAAAAGTAAATAGGACCCTAAAGAACCATGCGATGTTCAAGTTCCACACTTTGCTCTTGAGTAGACCACTCAAAGGAACTACTTGACTCTTACTTGAAACCCAGAGAGACCACATTTTCCAGGTATACAGATCAAAAGGAGGGAGACAACAGGAGCAGACAAGCAAAGCAGATACAGCCACAGAGACCACATGGCATGGGGGTAAACAAGCCCATGCTCCTCTGGGGGCCTTTTGATTTCCTAGAGCACAGGAATTAGTTTGTTTTCAATGACTTAAGTGAGGAAAGGGCAAAATGGTTACTTTAAAAAGCTACTAAAAATATACAACTTGTGGTTATTTTATAATTATTTTAATTAGAATTAGAGGGGCCAGCTTCATTTTTATGTGGAAAATTCATCTATGTAGATGTTGCTTCCCCACAAGTGCTAGACAGACTAGGTTATAGAGTATAAAAATGTCCACTGCATGCATGGTACTCTGGGGAATCCGTCCCCGTCCACTCGGCTCTTCCTCTGGCTGGCACCCCTGCACCTCTGCTGACCCTCTCCTGTTCAGTTACAGGCCACAGATCTTCTACCCGTACGATCTGCCTTCTCCAGACAGCGTTTCTGCATGAGACCATGACTGTTTTCACAGGATTCAGTCCTTTAGTGCTTGAAGCCTGAACTCTCCCCTCTACTTTGGTTCTTGTGTTCCACAGAGGTACATCCCTGCTCTAGTTATGAATTAGGTTCCACTTTAGCAGAACCTCAGTTTCCTTTTAGAGAAGATGTAACTTGTATTTTAGCTAATGGGGAGGATTGAGAGGCTGTTGTTGTTGTTATCCGTGTTCTTTTCACTCTGTTGAGTTATGGATGTGCTGAATTGGGTTATCCTTATGAAAATCTGGAGGTTAAAGAAATTTTCAAGGGAAGTCCTTTGGAGCAAGCTTCAACTAGTATGAAACAAGTCAACAAAATTTTCCATTTTAAATAAGCTACAGATGGGCCATTCTCTCACTTCTCTTTGAATCTTACCAATAACAGAAATGATCATAAAATACATTTAAAAATTTATGACTGGGAAAATTTCTTTTGGTTACCCTTTCCTAAATAGTTTTACATCATTTGTTTAGCACTCTAAACTGTCAAGAACATCTAGCATACCTGTTTGATAGCTACCCTATTGTTTAGATGCAAAAGCATTGTCTCCATTCAGAAGTTGGTTTAACAAGACAAATGTCTGTTACATGAATCAGATTAACAACCTATAATTAGTACATGACCCTGGAATATTTAGGCAAGGACAATATTTCCACTTCAATTTCAAACAAAAATAATTTATTTTAAGTAATGTCTTGGCATTGTTCAAAACATTAATCAAGCCATTATGTCATATGACTTATTTTCTTTACAAAGGAAAATGCTCCATCTTGGTTTTAAAAAAGGCAAACCAGTAAGCTACATTAGAGATTAGATATAATGTACAGCCTTATGCAGCCACATGACAAATAGTTTCTGCTGCTTTGTTATTACACAGGTAGTTGCTTCCTTCAGCTAAAGCCTGGGGTCTTGTATTTGTTTTATGCATACTGGGTTTTGTTCTATTACTTGGCAGGAGATTGTACTCCCTCGAGTCAGCTGTGTTCATTGGTCAGAATAAATTCCAGCATCTGACACCAACTCCATTAATCACAGACAAGCTTGAATAAGTGAGTAAGATAATAGAAAGACAAATATCTGGTGAATGGTGAACACTGTTTATATATGTATGCTATTCAGTTAATGTAGAAGAGATTTGAAATATTCTTTTGAGTCCAAGGTGTTTGCAACTGTCTATCAAAAAGGATAAAGGCCTTCTACATGAAACGCTTTATCTCAGGCAAAAGATGTAGGAACGGAGACATATATTACTAATATTCTTAATACCACCACCCTGAAAGAATACAGAGAAATTTCCATATGAAGCTATCCTTGTTACTTGTTTATAAATGATAGGCTCTTAGAATCAAAGCGTTGGGGGACATTTCATGATTATACTATTATCATATATCAATACAGCACAGAATTTGGTTTCTAGGATTCTAATTAATTAAAAACCACTTTCTCAGTAAGTAAAATCATTACATTTCAAAACAAAGTTTAACCAGTTAATAAGCTGCTCTACGTAACAAGCAGGTGTAGACCCTTTGAAGAAAACGGCTTTATACAGTTACACACCCATTGGGATTTTCACTATAGCACTGAAGGACAGATTAGACTGAAGCCTTTGTGATACTATTCCTACTTCTAACTGGATAATGTATATGACTGTAATAGTTTATTCACACACCACAGTTTTTCAACTATTTCATCACTTTTTTTCAATTAAGACTTGAGGGATGTACCAGGACAGAGTTGGCTTCAACGAGCAGATTTCAAGTCTTAAAATCCAAATTGTACTTTAAATTTTATCAACATCGTGATCATAAAATGACTTTAAATCTTATACTTTGAGACACAATACCACATATAGATGCAATAACCCAGATAATATTGTTCCACTGTAATTTCCTTATCCTTACGCATTATAAGGTCAGCAGAAATATAACCTAAGTCACATTGCCATTTCACTCCTTTATGCAACTTAAAGCAACTTAACATGCTTTTTCTCTGATACAATGGTCTCCTTTATTTTTATGAGTTAGGCATTTCACATGCTTTGTAAAACCGTGTCTGAAAACTTTCAATTCCATTCTTCATGTGATGGGCAGAAATGTACAATTATCATCAAAGGTAGAGTTGTCATTGTGAAACACCTTAGGTTTATTAATTAGTAACACATATCTGATTCTTAGCCGGAGGGTGTTCTTTCACACTGAAAAATCAACTACATAATAGGGTACATTATGTGCAAATGTAAATACTGAAGAACTCTGCAAAAGTTTAATCAAAATCTGCTTTCAGTTTGTTAATGATTTCCCAAGAAAACCACTGAGGGAGATACAGCAACCTCGTGAGAACGTCATAAATCTCTTCATAATTAATTTTTATAATGGCAGTTTTGATTATGTTGATCCAAGTAATGCAGTGGTGGCAGGTTGGGTAAAGGCAAAGGTTTATTTTTAGTTTCCCCAAATGTTGTCTCACTTGATTTAGGAGGGCTTGGGAATACCCAAGAATTATCTTCCAGAGAATTTCTGCCATAAGAATTGTGTTCCTGAAAGTTTGTGCCATCGTGAGGAATGGATCGCTCATGATCTGTCCATGACTGGAGAGCTGCTTTCTCTGATAAAACCTTTGCATCTCCTGGTAAAGGGGAAGACGTGGCATGACAAAGAGTTTTGCTGTTTGGTGAGAGAGGGGCCTGTCTTTTGTATGTTGCAGTAAAATTCATCAAGTGCAGCTTTGTGCTGTCTTTCCCAAGGTCTTCCATGCATCCTGCTGGGGCACAAGCTGAAAAGAAAGCACAGGCTAAGCATCAGCTGTCCTGGTATTTATGATCATAAAACAGTAAACAAACACTTTGTTAATTTGGTTGATTCTAGAACTGGAAATGGACATTTCCAAGTTAGTGCGATCACTGTGTCAGTGTGACTTGAAGTTGACAGATGATCTCAGTTCTAATCCTGGATCCGCTATTTACTGACAGGGTGACACTTGACTGCTCCAGGTGTCACTTCTCTCGTCTGCAAAATGGACACAGGAATCTTGTCTCGCCCATATCATAGTGAACATGAGGAAATTCCTATTTTAAAAAGCTGGAAACCAATTCACTTAAAATACAAGTAAAGACCCTGTTCCTGGCTCTTAATATGGCTGGAGAAGGCTTGCAGAATGTTTGTGTGTCAGTGGAGACTAAGAAAGCTGTTCTTAAGTTTTAATAATTTTGTTAGATGTAATATTCCTTAGCTTAGTCAAATCTGTTTTCCATAGGTGGTCCAAAAGTAAATTTTTCCAGAAA